CGTGCCCCATTTCCTATTCCCACATGCCCTCCCACCACATCTCCAAGAACCTCACGCCCAAGACCCCCCCGAAGATCAACCCGACCAAGAACCTCAACCCGAGCAACACGAACCCGAGGATGCACTTCACCACATGCCCGAACAGAACCAAGCTTTCCCACCACCCGATTACTTCCAACAACTCCTTGAAGGGTTCAACAAAGTCACCAATGAAGTTGGAAAGTATCGGGAGGAACAAAGAGCCGGATTCCAAAGATTAGAGTAACAACGGGCCGAAGACAACCGAAGGTATGAAGAAGATCAACGTAGGTTCTATGGACCTATGTACTCTTACATGGCTCATCAAGGCCAATTCCATACCATGGCTCACCCACCCCCACCCCCCTCTTGGTATGACCCCACTCAATGGGGTAATTTTGGAGGATCTAGCTCCGGGGGTGGAGGTTTCGATGGCGGGGATGACGGTGGCGATACTCACATGGGCGACGGGAGCTATGGAGGCGGCTTTGGAGGCAGTTACTATGGCGGAGAAGGAGGGCACTAGGGACAGTGCTTAAACTAAGTGTGGGGGAGGAGACTCATCATGGTATGTAATCTTTATTTTCACACTTTACTATGCATGAATTTCTTTTACTCTTGTAAACAAAAAAAAAAGGATAAATAAAAGAATTGAAATGCTAGTTAGGTTGAAAACCCAAGAATGGGCAATCTAAGCAAAAATGGCTTATAAAAAAAATGAGTGAGTTAGTAAGGATGGAAAAACAAAAAGAGATGCTAGGATGAAAACCTGAAAAGGCTCCTAGGCAAAATGAGATATATGAGAGAAATTTTTGTTGTGTGCAGGAACTCATTTGATCTTTTGGGAGAAAGAGGAGAAGGAGAGAAAAAGAGAAGAAGAGGAAGAAGAGGCAAGAAGATGGAGCATAGAAGATCATAAAACCCAAGGAAAAAATGTTGTTTGTAAAATCATTTTTTATTTCTTGGTGATCTTAGTTCCTTTCTTTCTTGAACTCATGGAATGATCTTAAACTGTTTGAAACATTTGACTTTACTCGAGGACAAGTAAAGAACTAAGTGTGGGGGAGTTGATACGTTTGTAATTTCCGTGTGTTTATTTACGTTTTTAGTTAGTTTTGGTTGTTTAGTATTTCGGAAATTACACACTTTCGGTGTAATAGTTTAGTTTGTTAAATTCTTGTAAATTGTTTAGATTAGGTTTATTCTGAGCTTAAACAGGTCCAAGATCAATCAAATGATCAATGGTGAAGGAAGGTGCAAGAGTACAAGACAAAAAGAAGGAAAGTTCCTGATTTTGACCTATACTCGATCGAGTACACCTTATACTCGATCGAGTACCAATACTGATTTTCAAGGATCCAATCCGGGAACAAATGAACATGCAAGGAAAGATTTGGCCACGTTCTATTGTCATACCCGATCGAGTACACCGACATACTCGATCGGGTATAGCTATAAAATATACCCGAATATCGATCGAGTATGGATCGAATTCGAAGTTCTACACATACTCGATTGAGTATATGTACATACTCGATCGAGTACTCGGCCTGCACCTCAAAAAGCCTATAAATACACCTCCTTTCCTTCACTTTAAAAGGATCAATTCCTTTATACTCTTAAGCTCAGTTTAGAATAGCATTTCTCTATATTTCTTTTAGCATGTTTAGTCTCCAAATGAGGAGCTAAACTTCCATTTCTTGGTATTGCTCTTGAAGCTTGTTGATTATTAAAGTTGTGAGTTATTTTCTTAACTTCTTTTCCTTGAATATTAATTCTTCCTTTAAATACTATTTCTATATCAATGTTGGGGAGTGTTACTAAGATGACAATTAGTTAACATCTTGACATTGGTTTTAGTAATAGCTATTCCTTCCTCTATGTTAATATCGGGGAGTGTTACTAAGATGACAATTAGTTAACATCTTGATATTTAACTATAGTAGGATTCATTCCCTTTAATATTCTTCCTTGAGTATTAATTAATTCCTATTCATATTTCATATTAATATTTTGAACATTACTTAAAGGATCAACTAGTTTTGTTTAATATATTAATTACTACTAGAAACGATCAACGAACCGATGGTTAATCGTTGATGGTTTCACAAGTAAGTAACTTCGGTTTATTAATGCACGGTCGTGGTTAATAAACTTAAGAGGGATTAATTTTGTTGGTTAAACCGAAACCGTTGTGTTGAGGTTATCAATCTCAATTGATTTCATCAAGGAGTTAAAAGATTAAATGCTACTATCAAGTCGGTATATGGCGTTGTTCTATACTTGACTAATAGTAAGGGTTATTAATGAACGGTCGTTGTTAATAACTATCCTCGATGAATTGGATATACTCCTCGATTGAGTATTCGAGAGGAGATAAGTTATAGATATAACAATGATCGACTAAAATATATCAACAAGTGGAAAGTAGCAATGCCAAGTCCCTTTTATCTTTGAATTAAAACTCATATAACTCGTTCATCTTCGTGTTTAAGTGATTAAACCAAATCAAACTAAAACCCCCCTTTTTTACTACTGGTTCTGTAAAAAGAAAAGTTATTCCTTTCCCTGTGGATACGAACTCTACTACGCTATACTACGTATTAGTACTAGTATTGAATTTATTTTGAGTGCACTCACGACAAAGTGCACGTTAATACACAAGTGGGTATGACTCATGTTAATAAAGAAGCCTACTTATATTCACATGATTACGGTTCAAAACCTTTTACACGATTCACGAATATGCGGTTTTATTTAAAGTTCTTGAATATCAATTACAATCTTGTTTTAGACTTTTAGACTTGTCACTTTTTTTTTTCATTAAAAAAAAAGCGGCAATTTACTTACGAACTCTCTCTTCCTTCGAAATAGAGAGGAATTCTAACAATCGTCTCAACTCTTTGTAAAAGTTTTGAGATTTTCCGCCACCCCTATCAATATGAGATTGGAACGCATATTATACTGATTTTAAGTATTCTAACGTTTGGAGTTGCAACTACGTCGAAGGAGATAGTGTTGGCCGATGAACGAGGTGTTGCTGGAAGATTGTATCGAGGCTTGATCATGAAGCCTTGGTTGGCCATTCCGACAGTGGTAGAGTTGGTATTCACCCATATTGCAAGAGCTCGTCCTCCTCCGGAACCACCTCCATATCAGGAAGAATTTTGCACAAAGATTTTATTTTAGTATTATTTTCTCACTCTAAGTCTACTCCTAGGGTTCACGATTGGATCGGTAAATTTTGTTTGAATGTTGTCTTGTATGTGTTCTCGATTTTAATATAACAATCACTCTTTTATGATAAAAAATGGCAATTTATTTTTTTCTTTATAATTTTTATCAATTTTATTTGTAACATGTGTTTCAAATATATATAGGGGAAAGATCAAGTACAAACTGTGGTTATTGTGCAATTGTGCAAATGTTTGTACGATGCACCTTGACGTTATTTGCATTGCATATAGTCATAAAATAGCAGTTGCACATTAGCGTTCAACGAGTTGCACCCTAAAAAGTTAGGTTTTATTATAAAAATTCCACCTTGCCTTTAGATCCTTTAGATCAATTCATCGGATGGCCAAGATAAGTTTGTACTTTGTAAATTAAACATGATTTGTATTTGATCTCTTTCTATATATATTGCATATTTTCACCGTCTCAGATAATTCTGCTATTTCATTCATATGCTAGGGTTTCTTTTTCAGCAAGCCACAACGCTTATATGGTGGTCAATAATTATATATCTAAGTTAACTATATTTCATAATTACTAAGAGATCATTTGGTAATCTTGATTTTGGCTTTTTAGGTTTATTTGTTGTTTTTTACACCAAACACGTAACTTTTGGTTTCACGCGCTGAATTGTGTAATAATAAGAAAAAGTAAGGTTGAAGTTACTTTTCTGGCTGTATTAGATGAAGTTACCGTAGAGGATCATTTTAGCTATTTTTCATATAATTTTTTCTTTATTTTGTTAATAAAATACGGAGTATATCTTAACTTTTTCCCCACAAATCAGCAGAATCAGTCAATACAACCACTTCAGTCAGAAATTCATAAATTTCAGCAGAATCAACCGATACAGTCGATTTGGGTGTTACCAAACGGGACCTAAACCGGCAAAATTGAGAGAGGTCATAGCCATCCATTTTTATTAAGATTCTACTCCCTTTGTATTAAGATCAAAGCCATCTATTTTTCCCTTCATTAGGAATTTTTCCCATTGGGTTTTTTCCTGATGAAGGTTTTCAATGATGCGAAAATCTTCTCGACATGGACAAGGGCGAAAATCTTCCAGTCTCGGAGAAGAGCAACTGACTTGGACTACTCCCTCTTAACCGATCTACTACTCGACCAATGGAGTGGGGGACTCTGATGGAGTAATGCGACTAGGCCCAGAGCCTAATCGGCCCAAGTCTTGAACTTGGACCCGTGGATCAAGTCCACAACCTGGAGCCTGCCTACCACTCCAGCGGGGAGCATGCCAGTCAGGCCGACCTGCCAGCTAGGAAAAGTAACGGACAAGCAATTAATGCGCTGTTTAATTATGTATTTAATTCTGTATTAATGTTGTAATTAATTAGTCATTATTATTGGTAGCGGTTATGAATTGTATACGCCTATAAAAGGCACATTGTAATTCAAACTAAGGGGGCAACTTCTACATGCTATTTCTGGCTATCAAATTCCCTTAGCACTTTCCATATTCGTATTGCTTTCTACTTTCCTGCTTGAGTGTTCTTTCGTAGCTTTCCTAAAAGTCTACGAGCGTCCTATTTTGGACCAACACTGCCGTCCCAAGAGAATAAATAAAAAAGTTAGTGGAAATTACCTAAATAAACCACTTTTCTCTGTAGTATTTCATTTATGTCTCGGTACTATTTTCTTTTCAATTTTAGACTTTAACTATTTCACTTTTATCATCTCTATTTGAAAAAAATTATAATACTGCTCACCTCTCTTCTCCTGCTCATTGTTAGAAAATCAGGAGAAGCCGACGACTCATGAGTCTGAGAAGCCGACCTGTCGGAACTGGCAAATTTGAAGCTTGAGGCTATGGATGAAACCAGAAATTCGACGAGGCGGTGGAGTCGTCGTGGAGAGAGACGAAGGCAATTTCAATTTCGTGTTCCGCAGGGCAAACCTAGCGCTTGTAGAAATGGATAACGTCGACTTCTATCAGCTCGATTGGAGAGGGAAAGCCATTCTACGTAAGCTATCAGACCGATAGCGTTGGGGATTAAGCAAGAAAGAAGGCCTGTGATGGTTGTTTTGCCGGAGAATGAAAAGATGACCTTAAAATCAGAATCGAGGGAGTCGTCAATTGCCGATTGAACAAAATCAACGGTAAGGCTAAGTGAGGACTTTCTCTAATGGTGTGTTGGAATAGCTCAACATCATCTCTTTAATTGACTGAAATTTGAACCAATCGTGCGCATAGCACCGCCACGTTTTTAGCTTTCATTTCAACAAAAATGGCGGACGCTGAGCACGATGTTGGTGCAGGACTGCCAAAGAAGAGAACATTCGAGATGTTCAGTTACAGAGGCGTTGACCTTGATTCTGTCCTCGGCTTGGCCACTGATGTTCTCGTTAAGATCTTCTCGGCCCGTCAGCGCAGAAGATTTAAGAGGGGGTTGACGAGGAAGCCACTCGCTCTGATTAAGAAGCTCTAGAAGGCAAAACTTAAGCTCCAACTGGGGAGAAGCCAGAGCCCGTACACACTCAAGGAACATGATAATTGTGCCTGAGATGATTGGAAGTGTGAGTGGTCTTTGCAATGGCTTGGAATTCAACCAAATTGAGGGAAGCCAGAGATGATTAGGCACTACTTGGCTTATTTGTCAATCTCATACAAGCGTGTGAAGCATGGTAGAACTGGTATTGGTGCTACCCACTCCTCAAGGTTCATCCCGCTCAAGTAATGCATTGGCCTTCTCTTAAGAGTATATCTTATTGTAACTTGAAGTGTCTTTTTAGCCTCTTAGGCTTATGTGCTTTTTGAATGGAATATCAAGTATGAACTATAAATTTTTGTCTCTAAACAGGTTGCAGAGGTTTCTGTTTTGTTGAATAAAAAACTAAATTTTGAAGTCTATATGTTATCATGTGAATGTATTCTTTGGTATGTTATCGTGTGAATGTATTCTTTGGGATGAGATTTATGGTTTGATCTTATTAGAAATGATTTATTGTAGAACAATGTGAAGGTTGGCTAATTGTGTTCTAACTAAAATCATTTTAAACTTTGAAAGAGTTGCTTCAATCTACCATCCTCCTAAAACTTACCAGATCTCCATGTAATTACCATGAGTGGGTTTCACTTGAAATTTGATGAGATGCTTAGCTATGTTAATTTCGTTTAGTTGTGACTATGATTTGTTGCTTAGAACATTCAATGAATGGCATTAAGGGTGTTTGGCTATGTTAAATAGATTTAGTCAAACCATGAATTTGGGCTATATTGTTTTAATTAGCTTCATTTTGATATGTTGCCTGTTAATTGAATGTAGTCAATTATACAATGTTAAGTTTAGATGTAACTCTCTGTTTTGTGCTCTATTTTTAAAATGTGTATCTGTAGGATATTATTATACGTTGGTTTAATTTCCCTTTGTCTTGTTTCTTTTTGTCTCTATTTATTACTCTTTGTTGCTTTTAAAAACATAAAAAGAATATCATGTGATTTGCTGAGAATATGTCTTCTTGCTATCTGTTGAGTCTCAAACTTGCTGATGTGTTGCATCAGATCTTCATAACAGAAAAAATATAGGTACATGAAGATGCAAGGGTGAGAAGATTGATAAGGAAAGTAAAGACAAAAGAAGAACAAAGCCATAGATGTAATAGATAAATGAATAAATTGTACTATGAAATTATATAATATGTATGTCCAGATATTTAAATTGTAATAAGAAATTATATTATATGTATGTCCAGATAATTTTACATGTAATTTTTGTTGCTTTTTGTTGCATTGCACATGTTGCTTTTTGTTGTATCGTGTTGCTTTTTGTTGCATCATACTATTTTTTGTTGCATCGTGTTGTTTATTGTTTTTTATTATTGATTTTGATTGTTTGTCTATTTAGATTTATATTCTTACTTATTTGGAATAACAAATTATATACTCCGTGTGTATATATATATAAACATCTAAAATGATTAATTTGGATTTAAGGATAAACAAAAAGAAACAATAAAAAACAAAAAAGTCAGAGTTATCAACAAAAAGAAACACAAAAAAACAATATGCAACAAAAGTAACAATTAAATTTACTACTGTATATTTTAATTTATGATTTTTCATAAGTATGCAACAATTTACATATGCAACAATATTCCATAAGAATAAGTTTTTCAATTTATGATTTTCATTTTCATTATTTTATTTTATTTTATTCACCTTTTGATTTTCGATTTTCAATATGTACACACTTTTTAATTTACTATATTTTAATTCTAAGAACCCTGTTTAAATTTTTATTTGATTTTTTGAATGATTTAAAATCTCATAATCTCTAATATTCGCTAAGCTTTTCCAATTTTCAGTATTTTTTATCTACATTTTCACATTTTTAATTTACTAGTTGTACATTTATTATATTTTTATTATACCTTACATTCTTTGAATTTTTTGTATTTTTTGACTGTAATTTCTTGTTGTCTTGCTTTTTTTTACAATTTTTTGTTTGAGTTTTTATGTATTTATCTTCATTTTCTACTAGTCTTTTCTATATTTCATTTTATTTTAGTTAACTTCTAAATTTCCCGGTATAATTATTTTTACATTTTATTTTCATTTTTCACATTTCTATTTATGAGTTCTTATTTTTGCACTTTTATATTTTTTATTTTATGTTTCTTTTATTTTGAGATTTTCTATGAGTTCATTGAATTTTTTTCATATATATATTTATCAAAATTCCTTAGATTTTTAGTTTAATGTATTTCTTCATTTTATACATTTTTAAATTTTTTGACTCATTTTCAATTCTATAACATATTTATATGATTTTTTAATATTTTTAGAAATAATTACATAAATATAACCAAAATAAAGATGATTTACAAAAATATGACTAGTTACTAGAGTAGTAATGAAATCATAGCAATTCATGTTCAAGTTTTGAACTTAAGTTACCATAACACTACGTTGTAGTGATGAATAGTCATATTTATGTAAATGAGTTTTATTGTAGACATATATTTTGTTTTTAAATTTTTTTATTTGTATATTAATATATATATTTTTAAATATTTTTAGGAAAAATTGATAGTAATAATCCCAACTATTGGCGGTCCGCTTATAATAATCCCAACTATCGATTATTTCAGAATAATCCCAATTTTAGGGACATTCCGCCAATAATGATCCCTATAAATAAATTCTTGTAGTTTCTAAAGTGGATGAGAAGAAATATAGCAAATAATCCCTATAAATAATCTCAACTTTTAATTTTTACGCTTAATTTCTATTAAAATTCACTTATTATATGAGGTAATATCTGATCATGGACCATTATTGGCGGATGGTCTATATAGTTGGGATTATACAAAAATAATCAATAGTTGAGATTATTGTCGGCGGACCGGCAATAGTTGGGATTATTATTTTCAAATTTTCCATATTTTTATTGTCTACTTTAACTTTTAATTGATTAAGAATTTACATTATTTTCAGTTTTCATCAATTTATTATATTACATATTTTTATAATCTAACTTCAAATTCTTTATAATTTATTTTTTATTTTGTAATTACCTTAAGTGATTTCCTTTTCTCCAGAATTGTTTTCCAGTTATTTTTATCTTTTATACATTATTTCTATATAAATTTAAGAACATAGTGATTCTTAAACGGAGTAGTTTGTATTGAGTTATCAAAGATTGTGCGCACTGCCGAATTGGAAGGTCACGTGCGTTTCCTGGTAGTATAGATTCCAGTGGGTGGTTTTGTACGCATTGGCTATTTATGAAAAGAAAGGCGCATCGAATCTATTTTTGAAAGAATTTTTTAATAATGAGAAAAGTGATATTATTTTCACTTTTTAGTCTATTTGTGAAAAAATCCCTATTAGTTATACAAAGACCATCCTATACTAATTGGCAACGGCCCATTTAAGATTCTAATGGATCTTAAGGGATCGCAATCTATCTGATAGTAATGAAAATCAATGGACTTGGAAATTGGAATCCCCTGAGATGGGAAAATCATGCTGGGAGAGACGATTTGGGCGATTATTTCGGGGATGAAATGCACGTCCCAGGCCAGGACGGAGAATCCTAGAGGTAGCTTCGGCTTCAATCCAGAATTCTTGAAGATAATACTACTATAATTAGAAATCCTCTTGTAAAGGGGAACCCATCCTTCAGTCCCTTGGTATTACAATGATGTTTATCCTTCAGCCCCTTGGTATTACAATGATGTTTATCTGACTTTCATAGTTTGATGAACAATTCTTCTTGTACATACTTTACTGTTTACACACTTGTACGCTGTATGATTTTTCTCGCACTTAAAAATGATAGTAGTAAAGTGGTGAAAATATGAGTATCGTCTCCACGGGGATGGAGAAAAGGGAGTTAAGAATTAAACAAATTCAGCGATTAAAAAGAAATAAAAATCAAATGCAATGGTGCGAGATTGGTTGTTGGAAGATTAAAATGCGAATAAAATGATTAAAATAAATGGGTTCTCTCTAATTAATGACGAAGGGAACAAGGATTGGTTCCGGGGTACTCAGATTTCTGGCAGATCAGGCTTAATCACATGAAAATTATTTAATTGAGCAACACTAATCAATACTAAGTTCTAATCGCTCTCGCGGCATAGAGTACAATAATTTAGGGAACCTGGCTGATCTCTCAGGCGATAGGTATCTAAAATTATTGCCAAACGAGCGAGCATACGACCCTTTAATCGCTAAAAATCTCTTGGCGAACAATTAAGTGTGTGTCAAAGTTTCATAGAATAAATTAGATCTCTCGTAATTTATTATGCATGCAATTGTAATTCTAATGGTCATTCTAGGTTACAAGAGATATCAATTAAATCATTCATATGCAAACTAAATAAAGATTCATGCAAGTTAAACCATCAAGAAACTAGCCATACATCATGAATAACCCCTTCATCAATCCCAAATCTCTAATTAAAACTACTCACAATTCATAATTGAAGAATCAATAGAATTGGGAAAGAAAGAATTAATTTTCATTAATTAAAAAGATTAAAGATACAAAGAATCCCGAAATCTTGACAATCCAAGGCTTGAAAAGCTCTCCAAAATCGACCTAGGGTTTATCTCCCTAAGTTCATGTCTGAAAAATAGGCAAAATGGGCTCCATTTATAGAAAAATAGCGAAATTGGGCGAATTTTAAACCACGTGGTCGTTCACGCGGTCACCCACGCGGTGTGCGGGCGACAGCGCGGCTGATTTCCGTGTCGTAACTTGCTCCGTAATTCTTCCGCCCATGCGCGTGCGGTCATCCGCACGGTACAACCGTGCGGGCACATCTGGGGCTCGTTTCTGGGCCGTGGGGCGTGCGGTTTCAACCGCGCGGTGTGCAGTTCAGACTTCTTGACTTCTAGCTCTCAATATCCGGGGCGCGCAGATTGCTCTAGAACCGTTTTCTTGCTATTTTCTTCCTTGTTTGCTCTCGATTGATCCTATCTTCAATCTATAACCTTCCAAGCCTCGAATCATGACTCTAAATCATCCCGTGGACCTTCGTTGCCTCTCGCTATCTCTCGAACACATCTCAAATCTTCTCAACTTTCGCTCAAACGCCGATGCCGGGTCCGAATTCTTCCTTTTCTTCAACGAATGCAAACCAAACCCGGCAAACCGTGACTTGAGCTAAATAAACACTTTGTGGCGCAAATAAATTAGGAAAAGTGACAAAACTCAATCTCAACACGCATCAAATGCGTGTTGAAATACGAACTTATCATACTCATTGTTTGTTAATTGTTTTTTGTTTGTCATAGACAAAACGTTATATGTCTGTGACAGACAAAACACATTTTGTCCGTGACAGGCAAAAAAGGCATTCATAGACAGTTTATACAAGATGTGTACAAAAGGCTTTTTTGTAGTTTGATGACCATTGAGTTCTCTCATTCAAAACCTGACATTCGGTCTTTTAAGTATACTTGGAAGCTGTTCTGTTCGCCTGATCTGAATGTTTTTGATCTGAATTTTTTAAGTTCTGATCTGATCTGATCTGAATCTTTCTGATCTGATCTGATCTGAATCTTTCTGATCTGATCTGATCTGATCTGAATCTTTCTGATCTGATCTGATCTGAATCTTTCTGATCTGATCTGAATGTTTCTGATCTGGTCTGATCTGATCTGAATGTTTCTGATCTGATCTGAATCCTTCTAATCTGATCTGAATCTTTCTGATCTGATCTGATTCGAATATTTCTATGATTATAATTATAATTATAATTATAATTATTATTATTATAATTGCAATTACAAATATAATTTAAATAAAATTATAATTATAATTGTAATTATAATTACAATATTTATCTCTATAATTGTAACTATAGTTATCAATATTATTATAATTACTCCGTAAAATAATTACAATAGTAATAATAATAATAATAATAATAATAATAATAATAATAATAATAAAAATAATAATTATAATCATAAATTATAATTATAATATAATTATATGTATAATTATAATTATTATAATTATAATTAATAATAATTATAATTATATTAACATTAATTATAATATTATAATATAATAATAGTAATATAAATACAATTAATATTATTATAACGATATTATTATATTAATATTATTATTACAATAATATAATAATAATAATAATATGATTATTATTATAATTAGTATTATATTATTATAATATTATATTATAATTATAATTATAATCATAATTATAATTATGATTGTAATTATAATTATAATTAATTACAATTATAAATATAATTAATTATAGATATAATTATAATAATTACAATTGATTATACTTATAATTATAAGAATTATAATTGTAATTATAATTATAATTACATATAATTATAATATAATATTATAATAATATTAATCATATTATTATTATTATAATGTTGTAATAATAATAGTCTTCTTAACAATTGCATTTATATTACTATTATTATATTAAAAAATTATAACTATTATTAATATCTTTTTTTATCATATCATTATTAATATTATTAATAATAATTATATAATAATAATCGTAATAGTAATAACAATAACAATAATAATAATAATAATAATTAATATTTAATATAATAATAAAAGTGATAAATCATGTTTGAACTTTTCTGATCTGATCTGATCTGAATGTTTGTGATCTGATCTGAATGCTTCTGGTCTGGTCTGATCTGATCTGAATCTTTCTGATCTGATCTGAATCTTTCTGATCTGATCTGATCTGATCTGAATTTTTCTGATCTGATCTGATCTGATCTGAATTTTTCTGATCTGATCTGATCTGATCTGAATTTTTCTGATCTGATCTGATCTGATCTGAATAAAATAAGAATAAGTAATAAGTAATAAGAATAAGACGAACAGAACAGCACCTTGATCGAATCTCAAGCGTCCAGTTTCTTCATTAACCAGTCGGTTGATGAGCAATTACATCCATAACAAATCGAATTATATTAAATTCATTTGTAAAGGATATACGATGCATTTGATTTATTGAAATGAGTTTTATGTTATAAGTAGTACATAAATGAAAATCATACTAAAATAAATACTCCATATGCATTAGTATGACATTGTACAATGAATGAGAACAAAGTAATTTATGAATTGGATCTACAACTTCACAATTACGGATTGTCAAACCACGAATATAACAAGAGGTTGAAGAGGATGCCAGTTATAGTAATTACGGTTAATATTTTAACCTCTAGCAATTTTATTTACATCTTGAAGTTTCTTAATTAAATAATGAAGCGATACATATGTGTATGTGTATATATAATGTGTCGGTACATACATAAAGTCATAACAATTTTCTTTATGGGGGAAGGATTGAATCAACATCTAGTGCTTCCACCATATATGTAGTCAAGTATGGCAATCACTCCAATAACAAAGGCCTGATCCACCCCTGCCTTTATGATCACATTGTACACATCCTTGCTTTTAACCACTATTCCTTTTCTCAATTCCAGCTGCAAACCATCCATATATGTAATTAATTTTCAATAAAACGTTTTCATATAAACATTTTCCAATGGAAACGTATTTGAAGCGATATATAAAAATTTTATGATATGATTTCATGCCAGCCAAAAAAAGAATACCAAAATTGTGACAGTAAGATGTAAAACCAATACTCCGATCCGGTCCGTAGTATTAACAATTACAGCAAATCAGTTTTTTTATTTGAAATAATACTCCCATACGCCAATGACTTATTAATTGCTGTAAAAATGGTGAAATAGTTATCAAATTTGTGTACCAATATAATTCAACCATGGTAAGGAGATCATCCTTGAATCAAAATGAGCAACCCCTATATACGAATTAGATGAATATTCAATTTTTAGTAGCCGCATCACTTATGAAATGCATATTTTTTTTTGGCCCATGCTTGGTGTACATATACAAAATGTACACAAAATGTATACATTACCGTTGTACACTGACAATTAGGACGGTTTTGACATCAAGTTGAGCCCATTTTTAAACGAATTGTCTATGTACACAACAATTAGGGGATTTTGTGTACAAGTTATGTACACTAAGAATTTTCCATTTTTTTAATGGAAGAAGTGGGTATATTAAAAACTTAAACAAATGTTACAAATCCACTAATCTTCATTCTTGGTTTTCATATTAAGGAATAGCTTGATGTTGTGATATTGTTTCTCTCCTTAATGCATCAAAAACAAGAGCAAATATTTCTACTTCATTAATTAGTACGGAGTATGTGACTCCAATTCGGGAAAACATTTGAGACGAATGGAGGAAATACAACTTGAATGAAAAGGAACAAATATTCTTTACAGGAAAGGAATAAGCCTATAAAATGAAAAAAAAAAAAGCAAGCATCGCCAATAACAAGCATCCCGATTTATATAATATCCCATGTGGTTCAATATATATATCAATCCCTTAAACGATAAATAAATATTGAGAAAGCAGTCAAATTAGATCTTCTACTATTACGGAATCATAACATAAGATCATGTACTCAATAAAGTGTCATATAAACACATCTACTTATAAAAAATAATCGGATGGTTCTAACGACACGTTGACAACCTCTTTTTCCTGATTATGTTACTTTTGCCTTCTATTTCAACCAATATTCAATCCGGAATTTTAGCGGGTCATCTGTTAGTAATCGCACACATTTTGAGAAACCTTCAAATCATAAACAAATCAGCTCAAGGAGTTCGATTAAGTGATGATTTTAAAAAGTTTAAACATAAACAAATCATTAAGAGATTATGAATGTTTTCTTTTGGACTGAAATTTGCTGGTGCTCTGGCTTGATCTGGTCTGGTAAACGTCTGGTCTCTGTGTATTTTATAACTATGGAAGTCTGGTCTGGTCTGATCTGGTCTGGTCTGGGATTGAAAACAGTCCAAAAGAAAACATCCTATATATGAGTTAATATGATACATGCAATACCGTAACTCCGTAACATTTACATATTTTGGCGTTCTTAATTATGCGAGCTAGGTACTTCAATAGGTATATTTTTATTTGTATTTTAGAAAAACTTATTTTTATTATTCCATATTATAACTTATACGGAATTGTTTAAATTTAACTCACTTTTGCAATTGCGTTGCCGAGAGAATCAAGGATGCTGCAATCTCTATCGGGGAAGTAGCCGGCAACGGTGAAATTCCGGTGATTATTACCGTAATCTCTTGATTCAATAGAAATCTTAATAGGGATGTTCTTAAAAATACACGAGTTTGGCTCTTTTAAGGTAAAAACCAGCTTCCGAGATCCTTCAAATGTTGTTGTATAGCCTTTCCATTTTCTCGCCATGCTTAGAACTTCAACTATCTCTCCCTACACAAATTAGTTAATCAAATAATACTCCATTCATTTACTCTTACATAAGTTTGTCAACCTTTGATTCTTCCAAAAACTTTAATATAGATATCATACAGTACAAATAACAGGATTGACAGACTTTTAGCAGGATTAGTCTTATTCGGGTAAAAAAACATTTTATCCCAAGATATTTGACACAAAATCATTGATCAATTCGTATCAAGTTTGTGCTAATTTGTATAATTTTCATTTTGTTATTACTTGTATCAAACAAACTTGACGAAATTATAAGAATGGGGCAATGGATTAACAACTAGACTCGACTATTGGTCTATCCAAATTAAGAATGACACATACATATTTGGGCTTTATGTTACATTTATTTGGTCTGTCCGTGACTACACGCGTTTTTTTTGTAGTGTTTGGATAAATTTAAAATCTTCATATTTCGTATGATAATAGAGCTAATGAATGAATCTATTACGAGCCAGCAAATTGGGTTTACCTTTTTTCTAATGAGAAGCAAAGGACTGTCGAAGTTGTCTCTAAGAATCAGCTCATCCTTCCTCCCAATAACTCCGCATCCTTCGGCGCTGAAAAGAGGGGTTTGGTCGACGTCGGTGACCACGAAACCTCCGCCGTTGGCGACGTGCGGGCGTTGCCGGACGACGAGGACCTTCTCGGAAGCTGAGCAATACACTTTGCTCACTACGGAGATGACTTTGGTGGTCGTATTGCTTGTCGTTTTGGAACCCATTGTATCCAGATTTTTTTGTCACAATTCAATGTTTGGATAATATAGGTAGCCTAGTTTCTTTATGGATGGACGGGTTACTTTAATTTTATTCTCGTACGTTCAAACAGGCATCATTTTAACGTTACAATAATGCTCTATTTATATGCGAAAGTGGCGGTCTGAAAGTCAAATGTTTGGCATGTTTGTTAAGTAAAGTACTCTTGCTTTGTTGGACACAGCTATCTCATTTCTTTTTTTGACATAGGCAAGATTCGTTAAATTAAACTATCCGAGTTATGTGTTAAGTGTTAACACCCACGCAATTTCTAATGTACTCCGTATATTATATGTATAGAGAGAGGGTCTCTATTTCTCAACTGAGTGTGCCATTGGTTCCACACCTTACACCTCCCATGATTATGTGAATTATCAAAAAGTTTAATTTTCTTTTTGATAATCCAGGTGTGTATCGGGACTTACGCTCTCATAATCTTAGAGTCTATCGACTACCCTCCAAAGCCTCCAGACTTGTAAATCCGGAGTTGATCACAGTCAGTCTCGTCGATACTGGCTCCTAAAGAATTAAGAATTCAACAGAATTTACATCACTTGTCATTCCTGGCTGTTCCTCCCACCACACGAACCCGATGTCTTCATTATCACTCTCTCCCTTTTCAGGTGCTGAGCTACTCCCTGAAGGTACAGAGAATCATGGGGAGCAAGATTTGGGGGTGAATGATCATTCATTGGACTACATCCTAGTTAGCTTTTTTCCGTTTTAAACGCGTTTTAAACACGTGCCGTTTTTTTGACCAAAAAAACACGTATAAAAGGGGGGGAATGTCGGTCCGTTTAAAAAGGAAAAAAACTCCTACTTCCCGTATAAAACATATTTTTCCCGTATTTTACAAAAAAACATAAACATGAATTGACCAATTGAATGAATGCACTAAATGCATAGAAGATCAACAATAGTGTAAAAGTAAAAATGAAAACGTCCTCCCCATGATCTCGTGTTTTTGTATTGTTATAGTGCAATTATTAAATACTAAAATTAATTGCATGATGGCTAAAGCTAGCATCCTGAAATACTAAAACTTACGTAGTAATATACCACAAGATTTCTGATGTTTTTTCAAGCTAGCATATCAAAATTAAGATTTTTCTAAACCTACTGTTTTTTTAGCATAAACTTTTACACAAACAATAATAAGTGTAGCAATCACACAACTTTTGTCATATGTCATCTGTCATCTTAATGAAAATGATGAGTTTAACTTGAGTGTTATTTGATAATCATATAAAGATAATGATTTTTTGACATTATTCTTCAAAATTATGTCTTGGACTTAATTACTGTTTTTATTTTTGTCATCGACTTATGCAATTACGAACTATTCTTGTATGTAGTAATGAGATTTGCAACTTGAATATGTGTATACTTTTATTTCTTTTTTACTATATATGTTATTTTATGATATATATCATTTAAATGTTCAAAATAATACCCGTATTTTTCGTCCGAATTTTTGTAATAGACAACGTATTATACACGTATACGTATTTACACGTTTTTTTTTAAAGTCAACGTTTTTTTCAACGAATTTTTGACCGTTTTTTTCATTCATGTTACCGAATAAAACGCGTACGTATTAAACCTCGTTTAATTCCCGTACCGTATTTAACTGACTACATCCACCTTCTCACATATATCGTTTAAGTGAATTACAAATTAAACCACACTTCATTTTGTCATTTATTCCTTGGGTTTTGAGCCAAATGATGATTTTTAGTCTCACAAATTAGTTTTTGCAAGAATTACTCTCTAGCTACGAATATGGATGTGTTGACCAATCAATGTGGTTCTACCGAAAGCTTTATTGAGAACCCGCTATGGACACATTTAATGAGTTGATAGTGATTTCTTATACTTGGAGATATATACTACACATGTTATAAACATGAAAGATTGTTAGAGTGGTTCGTCATTTACTCTTCTAAGGGTAAACGTGAAATATGCGGGTGTTCAAAATTTGTCGGGGAAAGTCAAAATCATATACGTAGTATTTGCTACAGAATTAGCACAAAATGAGTGATCGACGATTTCGTGTCAAATAACTCGTGACAAAATTGAATTTTGACTGATCCCGTTATTTTGTTCGAAGTCATACACATACAAATAAGGTGAAGCTAAGCATCATAATAATCAATTATATAGTGCAAGTACGCGTTCCATCTTGTAGTTATGTACTACCTCCGTCCCATATTGGCTGTTCACTTTCAATTTGACACGATTATTAATAAAGTGGTTGAAAAGTAAAAGTTGTGGTTGAGATTTGAGTAGAATAAAGTGAAATGATAAAGATCACATATATTTCTTGAAAAAAAAAAGAAACAAGACATTCATTTTAGGACAACCCAAAAAGAAAAGTATACCAACCAAAATGGGACGGAGGGAGTATCTGGGTGTGTCACCAATTTGTTCACATTTCCATATACTTCCTATAATATAATAAGCTGTTAAGAATACATTCAAGGGCATTAGTTGTGGGCTTGGTTGGGGTTAAATATAAATGTATAAGTCCTTTTAATCTCATTTTGCAAACATTTGTACAACAAAAATCTTTCACGTTTCGCCTGGCCTGAAAGAGGCATTCGATATATTCTCCAAAAAAGATAAGTTCTATATTTTGTTCCTTCAAACATATTCTTAATTACGACTCCTATCTTACTACACTATATTAGTATATTACTATGCCTGCCGCCCTGCCTCATTCCTTGATCCTTATATAGTCCTTGCTAGTTGCTACTATGGAGTATTAAATACTCATAATATACTTCGTATTAGATAGTCAACAGTAAAAATTGGATGGCTTGCCAACGTGCCCATATGATAATTAAAGTTCGAGAATATATCAAATTATCAATACAAACTATCCGTTGTAGCCTACCGTATAACAGAATCCGTAAATAATTGGATAGATTCAGAATTTTTTGTATAGTTTGGTCTAATCATATTTACGTGTAATTTGGTTAGATTTGATTTAACATAACCAAGGCTCATTTAATCTAATCTAGTTTGTTTAATTTGATTTGATTTGAGAGTAAAAAAAAAATCAATTAAAAGCATCCTTAAATTTCTTGATATAATATTTGAGTGAGGATGAAGGTAGTTCTATATCAAATTTATTAAATTAGTACCGCTAAACAAGTTAGAAAAATATCAATTTTTCATTGTACTACGAAATATGAATTCAAATAGTGAATATATATGCAAAACAAAATAGGACACGGTACTATTTCGTAATTTTTCTGTAAACGTTATCATAGACGTACTTCACACTCCATAAAACATTGTGTGGACATTTGTGTATTTAATATTGTTCCATATTGAAAACATAACCATGCTACTATATACCAAGTCTATAAGAGTTAAATCTATAAGTCTACTGTAAATCTTTTTTTTTTTTGGAATAATGTGAAACTTGTGTATTACAACGTACATTTATTATATAAGCTAGATTTAATAATAGATTAGGTAGAAAGTGAGCTGAAAGATTTGTAAAAAAAGTCATATCTATTTAGGGCTTGTTTGAGTATTGAATTTTCTACCCAAAATGCCAACTTTTTAAAGGGGAAAACGCTGCTTATATAGCAGTGTGTTGGGGTACAAACCACCAAAAACCAAAATACCCCTTAGCTAATGGCTACTACGAAAGTGCATTATTGAATACAAAAGTCTACCGTAAATAATACTTCGTAATTAAGTAGAAATCACACATTCCTCATATTAAATGTTTACCCTTTAATGTAACTATGTAAGATTATTTAATATAGGTGAATTGAGGTAAAGAAATTCTAAATTAGTACGTCAAAATTAAGTTGCTATTTAATTTTGGCCGTCTATATTAGCTAAAATTTAGGTATACAATCATATACTCCGTATAATATTATATTAGTTTAGAACTTCATTTCTTTATATCCATGACCAAACTGTTTCACATTGTTTTGCACTGTTTGACACTGTTTTGATGTAGGATAATTTTCCATTTATGGAAATGAGAAGATCATTTTGGGACGGCTAAAATGAGAAGATTCCCGAGTTCAACTTTTCTTGTTTGCACGCTTTCTCATATATTGTGAATGCAATATGACGGTCGCGGGCAGACTGGTTGCCAGCTCATTGCTTCTGCGTTTGAAGTTTTGAACCTTATTACAAATGTACACGTGTTGTTTTTAGCTTTGGTACATGTGGATATTCTAAGAAATTGTTCACATACATTGATGCCGTAAGTATTTTGTTTTGATGTTTGGTTACATAGCTGCCTAATAAATCACTTTAACCACATGTACCTAAAATTGCATTAGATATGAAGTTTACTTTTAAACTACAAAAGAGTCGTTACATTGTTTTATAAAAGTATAAAAGTATTTTACCACTCCTTCCAATCCTCCATGTAAAATATTTTAGATGACATTAATGCAAAATGTTTTAAAAATATAATGAGCAACGTTATTAAGGAGATAGAGAGCCGATGCTCCGATATTTCCTAGGGCGTAAGCCGCTAGGCCTCTTCTTCCAATTTCGATCGCTACGATCGAAGATCGGGTTTCCTTTGTTTGTTTCGATTTTAAACAGAGAGACCACAGGCGGCCGGCAAGAGTCGTGCGGTTTGGTTGTGGTGACGAATACCGTAAAAGCAGTTTTGGATCGTGATCTTGCTCGGGTTATGGACTCCTCGCTTGTGTCACTGGTTTCGATTGAGAAGGTAAGCATGGATTCCTGGTTCATTCGGGCTATAATCATGGGGATTAAGAAGATGTCAATGGAAATAGTGGTGGTGAGTTTGCAAGGAATGTTTCAAGATGAAGGGTTGATGATCCGTCCCCCTCCTGAGCCACCACCGAGGCGTTGGATGGTGGTGGGGAAGAAAACTTGTCATGGTGTTTTTATTATTGTCTGCTTTGGTTATCTTAATTTAGGTTGTTTTATTATGTTTGTTTTTTGTGTTTTCATTCCTTGTAAGATTCTTGCATTAAGGTTGGGGGAGGGAAAGTCTGCGGTAACCATCATTGGCTTTAAGTTGCCAATTTTGGTCTAGCGAGTTATACTGCTTTTTTACAGGTGGTTAG